GGGGAGGTGGGAGGTGGGATGGCATGCGGGCAGCATGAGACACAGGGACACAGGGTGCAGGGGAGATGGGACATGGGATGGGATGCAGGCAGGATGGGATGCAGACAGAATGGGACACAGACAGGACAGGACATGGACATTTGAGGGGCAGGACACATTGCCCACCCTGCCTGCACCCCGCCCGGGGCAGGGCAATGGTGGAGCTTGGATTGGGGCCCGTGGTGGTGACAGTGCCAGTGTGGCTCTGTGCCATCCCAGCCCTGTCCCCTCCAGCTGCAGGAACGCTACGGAGACCAGCCCATGGAGCTGCACCTCTGGGCCCGCCGGCAGCCCCTGCTCTCCTGCCACCCCGACGCCCTGCACGGGACCCTCTTCAGCTCCGCCGAGGCCTTTGTGGTGCTGCCCAACACCACCCGTGCCCCCGTCTTTCTGCTGAACATCGTGAGTGGCTGCTGCTGCCACGGCTCGGGGAGCCAGGGGACTCCAAAGGGCTGGGCTGGGGCTGTCCTGCCTGTGCTCCTGGCTGGGGCCATGCTGGGTGATCCTGGAGGGATATTGGGTGTTGATGGGTTGCAGACACTGCCATGGTCTCTCCAACACCTCTTCTTGCCACAGGATGCCAACGTGACAGGAAAGCCGACCATCACCAGGAACAGGCTCGGGGGGACTGTGAGACTGACAGGGTGAGTGTCTGATCCTGAGCTGGGTCTGGACTCCCCTGGGATGTACCTGGGGAGCTCCCTATTCCCCACCTCTGGCCATTTGCCTCCCTGAGTCCCGTATTGCCTGCTCAGACTCCATCCTGCCCCAGCTCTCATCCATGCCAGCCATGCTGGCACTAGGTCCTCAGCTGAACCCACTCTGCTGGGCTCCCAGTCCCACCATGGAGCTCAGCCTCTCTCTACCCTGGGAAGGGACAGTTCCCATCCTTGCGCCTGGCTCTGACCCTGATCTTTTCCTCCAGGCTCAGCGTGACACAGGTGGCATCAAACGTGGGCCCTGTGGAGGTGAGTGGCTGTGCCAGGGAAGCCAAGGGGAGCCTTGGATTCCACATCACCTTGGGAGCAGGGTCTGAGGGGTCTGAGGGGTGCAGTGGACCCTGTGCAAGGCAAGCCTGGCAGGGGGCTGAGCCCTGCCTGCACCATGGGCTCCTCTGCCTGCTCTGTGCCGGGCTCAGGGACTGCCTATCCTGCAGGTGAAGCGCCTGGAGACCCTGCTGAAGTTTGGGCTGTGGCTTTTTGGGGTCCCCCGAGCAAACAGTGAGTGCTGTCCCCATCCTGTCCCCACCCCACCTCCCCCAGCTGCACCCGGGCCCATCTCCCCTTATGCCTTTGTCTCCCCACAGAGTGGCTCCAGGCTGGCATCCCTCTGCCTCTCCCACATGGCCTCAACCTGCTCAGACCCCGAGTCTCACTGCAAGAGGTGCGTGCCACCACTGTCCCCTCTTCCTGGTGTCCCCCCTGTCCCCCATGTCCCCTCTCTCACCCTGACTCCCTGCAGGACTTCGTGCTCATCGCCACGGACCTGCAATATGAGCCATGAGACCGCCTGCCTCGTGGGAACCCTCCAGCCATGTCCCTGTCACCATCTCTGTCACCATCCCGGCGCCGTTGTGACCCTGTGGCTGACAGTGCTGCCTACCTGTGGGACTCAAAGACCCCCCCTCCTTGGCAGGGATTAAATCTGGGATCATAGCTCAGCCCGGTGTGCTGTGGGGTGTCTTGGGCAGCCTCCTCATCCATGTCCCCCAGGTCCCATTCCCAGCTCCGGGATGGGGCACCGCCTTGTCCGTGGCTGTGTGGGGCTCCGGCTGTGCCGGGGTGGGGGTCCCATCCTCTGTGGGGGGCTCACGGTGACTGGGAAGGGGGCTGGTGGCCCTCGGGGACCGGGGTTTCCCCTAATCCTCACGGCTGTGTTTGGCCATGGAGGTCCCCTCTGCCCCCGCCCGGCGCATCCGCTGCGGCTGCAGCTCCGCGCAGTTTCTCCCGCTGCCCACGGGATGGTGCTCGTGTCCGTGGGCTCCCACCTCATCCCGCCGGCCCATGGAGCCCGTCAAGGGCCCGGCCGCTGCCCCCCACGCTCCGGGGGTCCCCCGGAAGCGACAGGAGGGTCTGGGGAAGGCTGAGCTGCACAGGGAGCGTCCTGCGGTGGGAGGGATATGGGGGTGGCCCAGTGTCCCCCACGCTTGTGACACCCCGAAAAAGCCCCAGTGTTTGTGGGGTCCTACCTGCGTGGGGTTCAAACTGTGCCAGAATGAGCCCCCCACAAAGGGAGGGTGGTGCTGGAGAGGTTTCCCCTTTTGACATACAGTCCTGGGAATGCAGGGGGGGATTGTGGGTCCCAGTAAGGCTGTGAGCCCCCTGCCGTCCTCACCCTAACATGACTATGGGTGCTGAGCCCATGTCTCCGAAACCACCACCCCCAGCCCAGATAAGAGCCTGTCCTGGGCTCTCCTGCCCCCATCACCCCTTAGTACCATCCCTCCCCCTCCCCATCCCCTCGGAACTACAGCAAGCTCTCCTTGGAGCATCCCAACCCTTCCCTGGGCACGGAGAGGACCCCATCCCCATCTATCCATTCCGCTGAAGGCAACTCCTTTGGGCCCAAAGTTGCCCAAATTCCCATCGTTTGCAAAGACCACAGCACCACCAACAGCTCCAATGACAACTTTATTAGTGGATCACCTCCACCTGCAATCCGAAGCGTTCAACGTTTGGGCTAATGTTAGTCCTTGTGCTCCCCGTGTGGGATCTGAGCGGATCCTACACAGGGAGTGCAAGTCTGTGCTCAGTGGCCAAGTGAGCCCCCTGGAGCATCTGGTTCTCCCCCCCACTTCCATTCCACCTTGGCCTCTTCAGGGAGCGTGGCCCCACACATAAATACGGACAGACAAGATAACAAAAATAGCATTGAGTATTCACAAATGAATTAAAAACTACTCGACCTGTACAGAGCGGAGCGCGGGCGTATGTACGTCGACAGGCCCGCGTGGAGAGCTGTGTGCGCCAGTGGTGGGCTCTGAGGGATGAGGGGGTTTATTCTGGAAGCTATTAAGGGCTGGAGGTTCGCTGCTCCAGCAGCAGCAGGAGCAAGGGAGGGATGAGGGGGAGGGAAGCCAGACACCTCAGTCACTGCATGCACCCGTAACAGCCACGCACGGATCTGCCAGGGATCTGCCTGCGCTATGGGACTGCGAGCAAACGGGACAGCACTGGAGAGGCTCCCACTGTCCCCAAAGAGGCTTCCCAGTGGCCGGCATGGCTCTGAGCCAGTACCAGCCTTCTCTCTCTCACCTCCTCTGGGCTTACTTCCCTGCTGGTCCCATGGATCGGCTGCTCCCTGGGCTTTGCCACCCCTGTGAAGGACATCGCTCCCCCTGCCCTTTCCAATCCCTGGCTCTGCATTCCTGAACACCACAGTCCCAGCTCTCTGCAGAGCTCCTTGTGCCAGGGACAAGCGCTCTCCCCCTTCGCCAGCCCAGAGGAGCAGGCTGGGGACAGATGAGCACAGCCCCACAGCCATCTACATTCAGAAGGAGGAGGAGGAGGAAGAGGACAAGGAACCCTTCCAACAAGACAGAGCCCTGGGCCTTGTACACCATCCCAATCAGGGACTGGATGCAGCTCCCAGCAGCTGATGTCCAGGGAGAAGAGGGCTTGGGGGACTAACTGAGGGCAGAGCTCCTTGCACCCAGCCTCTGCCTCTTCCTCCTGCTCCCCCCACCACAGGGATGAGCTCTGCCTGGAAAAGCCAGGACGGGACAGGGATGCAGGGAAGCTCCATCCCGCTGTGCAGCCTGCCTCTTCCCGGTGCCTAAGCATGGAGATGGGGGCATGGAGCCTGTCCCTTGCTCTGGCTGGGGAACCTTATATTAGTGACACATCTACACACACGCACGCACTCACACATGCAAAAATAAGTCGTTTATTTTCTTCCACGTGATCTGGAGGACCCTGCAGGGCTGGGACACCTTCTAGCCTGTGCCCCACAGCTGCCTGGATCTCCCCAGCGCTGGGAGCCAGTGGCTGAAGTGCTGCATTGGCCTCAGCGCCTCTAAAACACAACGGAACAGTAAATAAGACGGGCTACGATAAAAGGAGCTGGGCGGCACGAGGGAGACAACTCCGTGGAGCAGGGTGGTGCTCAGCCGGGACCCAGGAGCTGCTCCCCCGCGCCGGTGCCGGTGCTTGGGAGCGGAGTGTAGTGGATGTGGCGGTGAAGGCGCAGCCGTCCTGGCGACGGGGGGCTCGGCGGCGGGTCACTTGCGGCTCAGCAGGGATCCCAGCAGAAGCACTCCGGCCACCGTCGCCCCGGTCAGGAGCCATTTGTTGAAGGTCTCCTGGCCCTTCCTCACCTCGGCAGCAGCATCGTTCCCGTAGAGGTCCACAAAGCGCTCCTGCGGGAAGAGGGAATAGTGAGCAGAGGGGCGGGCGTGGAACACAGAGGGAAGGGGCAGGAAGGCTGGCGGGCTCCTGCTGGCAGGAAAGCGATGGTGTGGAGCGGGCAGATGACAGATGCCTTGTGCTTCCTCACTCTGAATCATGCACAGAGGGCAATGGGGGAAGCACAGGACCAGTCATGAGAGAAGAGGATGCCAGAAAGGATTTGCGAGGAGAACACCACGCAGGCAGGGCAGGGGATGCATCACGTGCTCTTGGCTCTCTAAAATTAGCATCGAAGTGTGATAGAAATCATTGCAGCAGGAACACACTGGGCTCCATTCCCTGGCTGAGGCCTGGGGAAGCAGCAGCAGGGCTGATGCCCACAGTTGTGAGCCCACACCATGTATCCCACCACTGATTTCATCACCACACTGCTGCATCCCGGCACGACAGGCACTCCTACATCCTGGCCCTCACAGGTTACTCCGTAACACAAGCTGGATTTCATGAATCCCTGTGGCAAAGGCAGACACTGGGTCGCCAAACTACTGCCTTCCCACGGCTTCAGGAGAGCAGGCCAAGCACGAGGCTTGGCCAGGAATGCAGTCGCTCCGGCCCAGCTCGTCCAAGCCGGCCGCCTCCAGCCCTTCATCTCCAGCAGCAGCAAGAGCTGGGAAGATTTAAGAAGAACCACAGCCCCTTTCCTTGGGGCTGGGGATAGGTGGTCATGGCCTGGAAGGGGGGAGATGGAGGGCAGAGAGAGACCACCTGAGTTGAACTGCTCCTGAAAACAGGCATGTCTGTGCCCAGGCAGCCCACCCATGGCATGCTGCCAACCCTCCTGCTGCCCCAGGCACCAGGAACCTTGGCCCACTGTGAGGAGAGCTGCTGGGGTCCATGGGCCACACACAGAAGGGCAGGAGGGGTCTCTGGGCAGGCTGCAGGGAAACATATGGCCCAGGATCTCCCAGGTTTATCAGGGCTGAGCAGGAGCCACAGGTCCAGAGGGAGCGGGAGCTGCGAGCTCCAGGCTCAGGGATCGCCAGCAGCTTGGCGTCAGCAGGGGCTTGATGCTGTCGCACCTTGAGTCCATCTTCCCAACAAGGTCCCCTGTTCCCTGATAAGTGAAGGCAGTTCCAGTAACCCGGCTGCTCTGGGAAAGCAGAGATAAGCCCAGCTGACGCTGTGCTCATGTCATGCCTCATCAGGGGCTCCACGCAGACTGGAGCAGCATCCCTGCCTGCCCTCCCGGTCTGGCAGCTCTGCCTGCACGCTGCTTCCCACACCTGCCCACAGCCTGCGGCCGCAGGACTGCAGGGGTTTGGTGCCCAGGTCATGGTTGGCACCCGTGTCACTCATGGAACATGGGGCCAGTCTCCCAGCTCCCACAAAACAGCCCCAGCACGGTCACAGCTTGTGGGGTATCTCCTCACCTTGCCACACACCTTCACTCAAGCTCACATGGCTTTTCACAGCAAGGTGTGCAGCAGACCTGCACGCTCGCTCCCAGGGAGCCAGGCTGTGTCCCTCCCCATGGCCACAGGCCTCCCCACCACAGGGGATCCGGTCCTTGACGGGCTGCACCTCAGCACCCACTTCTGCCACCAAGGCTCTTCTCCACCTCCCACCAAACACCAACATCTCCACCTCCCTTGTCTGCCTTCCACACCCTGTGACCATGAGGAGGTACCCACAGACTCAAGGGCAGGGTGTTGGGACAACAGGGACTTTGGGACTTTGCTAACTCACCCCAGGGCATGACACTGCTGCCGCCTCACTCAGAGTCCTCTTCAGGGATGTGACAATCATCCCCATGATTCACACCACATACGTGGAGTGGCAGAAGGCAGCTCGCTTCCCACCATGCCTGCCAGCTGGCATGGGATCCGTGGAGGTGTTGTACTGTGTGCCAGCCCCACAGGAACGGGCAGCTCACAGGCAGGTGCTGTCCAGGGAGAAAGGTGAAGGCTGCTGCCCACTGCCAGCCCCTCTGCCCGGCCCCTCACCCAGGGAACAGCCAGTGACGTGCTGCAGGAGGGATGGGAGGAAAGCTCAAACCCAAGGAGGGGGTATCTTAAATTCTGGCACAGGAAGTCTCTCTGCTGACAGGTGGTGATGAGCATGGAGCTGTGACAGGGCAGGGCAAGCAGCAGCAAACTGAGAGCAGGCTGGCAGGGATGGAGGGCACAGGGAACTGGGGT